GGTTCAGCAAAAGGCTGGACTGGCCCCCTCTCCCTCATTTCACTGAGCGGGAATTATTCCCCCATTCCTATTTCTATTTTCTGCCTATCTCATCTCTAATTATATGAGTGTTCTCTGAGCTAGGATTATGTTTTGAGAGTTTGATTTCAGATCTCTAGAAGGGACAGTCATCAGCATATCCTTTTCCCTTTTACGGTTGTATCAAGCATGAGTGCTGCTTCGACTGTATCTCGCTCCAAGGTGAAAGTTTTCCTCGACTCCCCCTTCCGTCGTAACTCTTACTCTGATACCACTGTCCTTTTTCCTGCTATAGCCGTCGGACAGCCCACCAAGGCTATTTCTTGCAGTCGCCTTTCTTGATGCCATCCACCAGTTGATTTTCCTGCCGCTTTTTACCCGCAGCCACTCGGCTCCCGCTATTGCATCCCACTTCCTGTTGTCAATCCCCCAAGTGTTTTCCCTGCAGCTTTTCTACCGCATCCACCCAACTCTTGTTATTGCATCCCTCTCCCCTACCTCCTGCTTACTGGCGTACCTGCTGCCGCAACTCCCTCCAGACCTTCAACATGCTGCCGCAACACGCCCTTCCTGTTGAGACCCCCAACCACTTGACTGCTTGCTGTCGTGACTCCCAATCACTCTGACAGTTTCCCACAACCCTGCAAACTCTCTCCCTGCTACCGCCGCCTTCTTCCAACCAGCCCCTCCCACTTGTGTCCGGCCGCAGTCCACCGATTTCATCCTCAACCTAGGGTGTCATTTATGTTTAAATTGTTATTTACCTATTGTAAAGAGACTTTGTTTGTAACCCAATTAAATTTCAGCAATAAAATTTGTATTTTCATTGTGGCTTAGGTTAACTCCGTTATCATTCACATCAATATCTATTGTACGGGCTCCTCATTAGTATCTTACACTAGAATGTGAGTGTACATGCATGTCTACACTCATAGTCTAAGATTATAAACTAATATGAATGAAAACACAAAATGCCTTTCACAAATTTGAAGTTCAAAGACCACCAACTGAAATAACCACTCACCAAGCTTAAGCAAGATATAAATATTACTAAGCCAAAAATTTAATATTTACATGAGTGAAAAATTTAGATTTATAATCACTTAATTTCACAAGGTTGACAGTCCATAAAAAAAAATATTAGAATCCAAAACTGCACCAGTATCCGATTGCGAATTCACAGAAATGTTTTAATTAAATCTTAGCTCTGACAGTTATTTCATTAAAATGCGCAATTAAAAAAACAACAGGTACTCAGCTTCTAACTGATCAAGAAACCTACACATTTTCAGTGCCAGATATTCTCATCCATCAAATATCAACTTCCAAATTGTGGACAAATAACCAAAAACTTCCCCCAAATAGGACGAATTACTCAAGATCCAACAATAAAAGCAAGACCCCGATAGTCAACTTTAAAACATCCAGCCGATAAAAATAAACCAGCCTATCAACAACAGATATCCCAGCTAGAATCAGGAAATCAGCAATGATTTGATAAAAGAAAAATACTTCAAAGTCCCCGATATTCAACTTTAAAACATCCAGCCAAGAGAAATAAGCAAGCCTATCAACAACAGAAATCCCAGCTAGCCTATGAGGAAAACAGCAATGATTTGATTTAAGGGAAAAAAAACAAAAAAAAAAAAAAAACAGCTTAAAGACCCAAAACGGCAATTGCCCAAATAGTAATAACAAATGGCTGAGCAATTAATAAACCCAATCCAAAGAACAGTAGTGAGCATAAATGGAGTAGGAGCAACTAAAACACGTCATATATAGGATCCCTAATCAAAGGCATGATCCAAAGATAAGAAAACTAAGAAAATAGAATAAACAAAAAGTAAAAAAACATCACTTGGATCATCACATTGCTCATCTCAAAACAAATGATTTGCACTTCTCACGAGAATAGACTTCAAGATTTACTTCAACATAATGGCATAGTGAAGGAAACATGATTCAACGTGGCGCATTCATTAAGCCCTCTTACGCTCAAAAAGGTGTGCCCTCTCACGCTCAAAAAGGTGCATATGAGGCCAATTTTAAACCTCCACACAAAATTATATCCAAAAAAAGTTATACTACTAGGAAAAAAACAAAATAAAAGACCTTACAAGAACAGCATTAAGGCCATAAATTTCAAATAAAAAAACTACTAGATATAAGATTAATAATACAAAAGAATCACAAAGATTAAAAATAAAATGATTTTAATTTATTTTACAGTATTTTAAAAGGCCTGTGCCATTCTATTTTCAAAGAAAGAGTCAAATATGTGTTAATCTGAATGGCTGGGGAGAATTAGAGAGAAATGCAGCAGAAAATCTAAGAACAAGAGACTGCATTTGAGCACACACAACCATGCATTCCAAGATATTTATGCCAAAATGCAAGCAATTAATACCCAAAAGCATTTTTGTAAGAATATAAATATAACCTGGCATAATCACTTGTCCTTTCATAAAGACCACGGCCAACAAAGTATCGCTCCTAAATATGAAAAATAAGAAAGAGGATAAATATTTGAGAATGCATAAAAAGGTATAGATTAAGGTTGTCCATACAAAACAAAAACCTGGTAAATCCACTTGAAGAACTGAAAAAATGGCCATCGATCTGACACATTTGATATCCTATGACAAGCTGGAATTTTGACTATTAGAGAAAATGCCACACGGATAGCTGCATAAACACCCAGAACGAGAAGGTAAATCCGAAAGTATGTTGAATCTGAGCTTTTACTGTTTCTTTCATCTAGTAGCTTCCTGTATGTAGATGTTAGAAGCGACTTAACCATCTGAATACGGATCCATATAACAAGCGATAAAGTGTTTATTAGAAGCACTAAAACTTACAAGTACAGGTACATTACAAATGCAGAAATGGCACCAAAAGAAGTAAGCCTAATAAAAACCCTTGATAGTGCAAAGCCTCTAGCGCTTCTGTAAGCACCATACATCAGAAAAGCATCCAAAAAACCTCAAAAAAAAAAAAAAAAAAAGAAAATCCATATTAGTGAATCTATCATATGCTATTCAAACAGTACATAAAAAGATTAAAATATTGACAAGCCAATACTTTTATTCAAATTAGCATTAAAAAAATAACCATTGAGATAATCTTACACTCTATAAAGTTCAACATAAAAAAGGCTGGTCCAACACTAAGCACTATCTTAAAAGTATTCAAGTTAATGGATCCCTTATGAAATGCAATAATTGTCAAACCCTGTCAAATCAAACAGAAAAGGTGGAAAATCAAATCCTCATTTATCATAGCTTCACAGATTAAGGAAATAACATATAAAGGTCTCCCTCAATACCTGAAACATTAAAAAAAGAAAAATCCATAGCCTGTGAAAACTGCGATACAGGTGCAAAAATGTTCGATGCTCAACAAAGCTGCTCTTTCCTGTCTGTAACAAAGTGGGTGTGAGTCTAAGAAAGCTAGATTAAAAAATTTTTATATAAAAAAGAAGAAAACTAACGAAAATGAGATAAATAATAACCCATAAAAAAGAAGAATTGTACAAACAGGAAATTACATAATTTTAAAATGTATCAATTTTAATAAATTAAAGAAATCAAGTTTAAACCTTCAGCAACAACAACAAGCCTTTATCCCACTAAGTGAGGTTGGCTGTATGAATCTTTTTTCTCCATTGTGTCCTATTCAGTGTCAGATTTTCGTTTAATCCTAATAAATTAAGATAATTTTTTACGCATTATGTCCAAGTCTTTTTAGGACTACCTCTGTCTGTCCTAACATAAGTGGAATCTAAAACATCTACTCTACTAACCAGATCATCAGATAGTCAACGTTTAATGTGACCAAACCATCTAACACAACCCTCTCTAATTGTTTGCTACCAACTCATTCACGGATACATTTGTTTCGCACTTGTCTCTAAGTGTTGAGGCACTTATCCGCCTAATCATTCTTATCTCAGCAACCCTTAACTAAGTTTTATGCTTATCTTTTAAAGGACAACATTCTGCACCATAAAGCATTGCAGATCTCACCATTTTAATTTTTTTTTTCCTTCTAAGTTTGAGTGGTACTTTTATATCACACAATAGGCCCGATTCATTTCTCCACTTCAGCCAACCAACTTGAATTCTACAAACAACAACCCCATCTATATCACCCACTTTGAAAAATAAACCCTGGATATCTAAAACATTCACATCTTTTAATGATTTGAGTGCCCAAAGTAAAAACTCTACCACTAGATCTACTACTAATAGAATTACATTTCTTGTATTCAGTTTTAGATCTAATCAAACAAAAGCCTTTAGACTCTAATGTAGACCACCATAATTCAAGTTTTTCCTGAACTCTTTCTATACACTTATCTACAAGAAGGATTTCATCAGCAAAAAGAAAACACCAAGGTACATCCTCCTATAAATGCCCAGTACGAGCATCCATAATGGCAATCAAGTTTAAACATTACTAGAAAATTTTATGTTAATAATTGACAGCTTGTCAGTAATAATGAAGTGAGCAGGCAAACACATTAGCATGCAAACATATAGCATACATCTCTCAAATTTATATCTTACTAAAATCCAAGTTCAACCACAGAGAAATACTTGTCAGAAAAAGCTTCACCCTTTACAAAAGAAAAATGCCAAAAATATAAGAATATAACTCGGAGAATAATATACAAAGACATGCATTCAAAAGAATACCCTCATTTATGGAGAACTCTCAGGCAGCTCTACAAGCAAACATCCTAGCATGAAAGCACTATTGCACATTAATACATATATCATATGTGTGTAAGCAAACTATATGACTCTAGGGAACTACGATCCACAAGTCTGATGGAAAATGAATAATAAGGACTATAACAGTGATAATAATTATGTCGATTAGTCAGCTTACGAATGTGTGCTTAACTATAGCAATATATGCTATGTGATTTCTGTGATTCAAAATAAGATCGATTAACTCACATGCATAAACACCATCAGCATTCAAAGTGTTGCAGCACGTAATAATGTGTAAAAAGTAAGTAGCTTAATTAATGTTTGTATAGACTACTCTTAATGGGATAATCACATTTCAAAAACACATGCAAGCTCCCCAATGGACAAGTTTTTCTAAAAACTAAGAGAAACTTGCACTTGAGAAGTGAAACAAATGATTTGGCTAAACCAAAAAGAAACAAATGTAACTACTAAGTTCGTACCTAAAGCCTAAGCTTCCTTGCCTTAACTCTGGAGTGATTTTTTCTTCATTTGATGTACTAAATATTATATATGCAGAGATAACTTAGAGCCAAAGTTAAGATTGCTCCCTTTGTATTAAAACCCCGACATGCACTGAAAATAATTAATTAGCTTAAAAACTTGGAAAAAAATCGTCTCCCCATAGCCTGTAAGTGGCAGAAGTATAGAGTAGCACCTAGGGGTGTAAGTGAGTCAACTCGACTCGTGAGTGTTATTACGTTAAGCCCGATTGTGTTGCTTAATTGTTCAATAAAGCTCTTAGTTTCGCCGATTAAGTTTGATTGTTTGTCTGCTCAAAAGAGAGATGACTCTTTGAATTAGGTTATGAAGTGGCCTGGCACTTGGAACCCGAGCACTCAGACCTCCAAAACTAGGAGGGGAGCCGCAGCACCCAACCAGGTCCACATGCAAGTCCAAAAGACAACACAATGTCGGAGGTCAGTGCCCCAGCACAAGGAGAGATGCAGTGCCCAATCACGGTGCCCTGACATCACTAATCTCAATTGATAAGTTCGAGGCATAAAATTACACATTATATGTGGGAACAATGTGCGAAAGGGTTTTGGACTTCAAAGTTCATCAGTGTGAGGTAAAAGAACGTTTTTTTCCAAAGTGTAGAGAAACTTCAGTGTAGTGTAATTTGTAAAATTCTCCTCATTTTTCATAGTGAGTTTTTGGTGTGGTGTGGCTTCGTGTTTTTTTTCCGCTCTCGGGTCTATCTATGTTATATATATATATATAATATATATATATATATATATATATATATTAAAAGCTCAAGGACATATTTTATTAAAATAGAAAAGATACATAAAGATTGTATGAGAGGGCCCAGTAGAGGCACTCTACCCATACGATACCAAGTACAGTACTATCCCAACAAAAGATACACATAGACTCGAAAAATTTAAAACATGCAGGCTCATTTGATCCTCGGTTTGATTAGATATTAGAACCGTAGTAAAAGAAAAGATAGTCGTTGCCACAGCAATAGGTTCCAATGTATGTGAAGTGAGAGTTGTCACTTCTGCACCAGATACTTTCCGAATAGAAGCTACAAAGTTATTCTGACTTTTGGTCCGAACATTATCCCTTATAGTATGGTCAGGAGAAGGGTTCCCAGGGGTAGATTCCATTTTTTTGGTAATTCCCCCCTCCGGTTGGCTGTCATCTGGTTTACTGAGAGCGCATTCAGATACGTGGGATGCACTAACAGCATGTTCCTGCTTCTGACTTGGTTCTCAACTGCGGGTGTAATCTGAAAAACTTCTCTTGCGGGTGTCCAAACATCTTGCAGTGCTTGCAAAAGTAAGGTTTTTGTTTCATAATAATTTTTTGTCAATAACCATTGTGAGCACTTCTTCAACATTTGGTAGTGTAATATCTCTTTCAATTAAAATGCTTGCAATAGAGGACCTTGAGAAATGAACTGTAAGTGTGTCTACCTACAAAGTTTTCTAAGGATAGTCTCAATTGCATATAAGATAAGTAGATCAATGAATTGAAGCTTGAGTTCGGTTAATGAGAACCATATAGGCGTAATTGGGGGTTCTTCACTAAGATCAAAATCATGAATCCATTTGAGCAATTTGATATGATTGTCTCGATTGTGATGAGTTTCTTTGAGAAAATCCTTATGAAATATTTTTTAATGCTCAGTTATATCAAAACATGTCCTCCGTCGAAAAAACTTACCTGTCAAGCTCCAACCAGTTTGAAATCTTCAAAAACCTTCCTGATAATCTCCATCTTAGGGCGATCTAACTGAAACTTTCCAACAAGAAAAATTTAAATTTTCCTGCACCAGTTGAAATTTCAGCGTCAGAGAAGAATAGTGCTGGTTTGACTGCCTTCTTCATTATTTTTTTGATGTGATTACAATCTTCATGTCCTGCAACAGAATCATGGTACATCTACGGAAACATCGGACTATCTGCAAGATGAAAAGGGGAGTTGCGTTTGTGAATCATTGTAGCATCAGAGGGTTTGGCGAGATTATCACTGGCGAGGCAGACAACGTAGGATAGCCCTGAGGCCATGAGCATGTTTCACACAAGCACAGCAGGCACAGCAAGATGACGCACGAGAAGCTCTGCCAAGTCGGACAGAGGGGAGTCGAAGAGGTTAAGGCAGTCGCAGCTCGACAAGTTCGAAAAAATGATGAGCCGCAGAACGAACGCATAATTCGTCGCAGCTCGACGAGGATGACGAGCAGCGGAGGAGTGTGGAAGTCCCTTCGTGCGGAACGAACGCAGAAATCGCCGCAGCTTGACGAGTCGTGGAACAGTGATCCGCGCAGAAGCTAGCCACAGAAGCTGAAAGTTCCTTCATCTTTGGACAGGAGTCGACAATCGCGGAAAATGAAATCGTCGTCGAGTACGAGAACTTCCAGAAGCCAAAGAATCAAACCAGAAAATCGCCATAAGGCGAAACCCTAGCGGACATACATATAAAGCCTAATGGCTAATATATTAAAAAGAAAGTAGGATACAGATGCATTGTGTGGGAGGGCCCAAACATGACACATTGCCCACACGATAACCATCATATGCAAATAATTTCAAAAAAAAGAAAATACAAAAGAATACATGAGAGACCTAAAGAAAAACCTAAAGAAAAGAAAAACAAGAAAAGAAAAACCAAAAAGTGTCAAAATCTGGATTATCAGGTAACTAAAGAGCGACCCAATTTTGTCTTGTCTCTGCCTCTAATTTTAGAGGAGTCAGCTAATAAATTGGTGAGAGTGTCATTGCAAGTAGTAATCAATGTATCATACAATAAATACCCGAGCTCGAGTCAACCTCCATTCTTCTTCTTCTTCCTTCTGGAATAGACTTATCATTCTTCATCCGAAGATTGGCTCGTCTGGTTAATGGATTGGTCTAAAGTGTGTCGGACATGTGTAGGTTCTTGAACATTAGAAGGAACTACTTATTGTATCAGCTGATCTTTCATCGGATCAAGGGAACGGGAGCACTCTCGTGTGTCCTGACATGTAAGTGGGTCTTCTTCAATAACAGTGAGTGGTATAAGCACATTTGGATATTTACCTATGGTATGGTGTTTTTCATGAAGAACTGCGGTGTTGGAAAGGAGGGAGGGATCCACAGGCAAATCAAACACCAAATGTTGTCTTGTGGGAGCTTCCTCTACATATTGAGCAGATGTGTCTATAACAATGAGGTGAGACCCTTCTTTGCTTTCTTGAGCTTTAGCTTTCAAGTTTGGATGGAGCATGTGACATTTATCAAGTGTATGCCCAAACTTCTTACAGTTGGTACAATAAAAAGGTTTATGTTCCATGACAGTTGGTGGTCAATATCCTTTGTGAGTTGTGTCCAACCAGACTTCAGTAATATCAGGAAATGTAATATCCATTTCCATAAGTATTCTAATCATAGAAGGTCTGGTTAGGTTAAAGGTAGACATATCTAGCTTCATGGGATCTCCAAGAATGGCTCCAATAGAATAAAGAATCTTATGATTAAAGAAATTCAACTTGAGACCAGGTAAACTAATCCATACCGGAACAATAGGAGACACATAATTTGGATCAAAATCAGGAGACCACTTGAGTAACTTCATTGACTTGCCTGTAATGTTGAGATATTTTTAGAAAAAATTTGAGCATAGTCTTCAGCTAGAGTTAACTGAATCAACATATGTCTCACATCCAAAAGGCCCCCTTTTCTACTTACCTACAAGTTTGAGATCGTCAACACTCTTTTTGATAACTTTCATAGGTGGGTGTCCTCACTCAAGTTTCCCAATAAGAGTGAATTTCAATTTCTCAGTCAGGGTTGAAATTTCTGAATCAGAAAAAAATAATGTTGTTTTCCCACTCTTCCTACTTATCTTCTTAAAAAAAGGAAAGTCACTCGTACCATCACGACATTCCTTATAATCGTACCATCACGACATTTCTTTGAGCTTGAGAGGAAGACAATAGTAGATTCTGCAAGATGATTACCCACCACGTGGGCAAAAGAAGCTTTGTCAGGATCAACCGAAGAAGAAGGAAGCGTCATAACGACAATCATTTAGCCCACAGATGCAAAAACGAAAAAACTAGACGATCCGATGGAGCACCACCATCAGCGAATGGACGCGCGTCGGGTCGAAGCAGTAGAAGTCCGACCCGAGGAAACATGTGCAATGCGGAAGAGGTAACTGCAGAAGACGAACTGTCGTGAACTGGTCGAAACAACAGAACGCAAACCGCGATCAGGTCGAAACTGCGAGAGAGGAGCTGCAAAGCGCGAACGACACTACAACGAGCAGCGGGCACAAACGCAGCTTAACGAAGCAGACAATGGGACAGAGGAGCATAATCCCCTTCTTCTACGAGCATGGAATTACAGTAGCAAAGGCTTGGGTTCGTCGTGAGACGAAACCCTAGCAAAGCTTATAAGCTTTCTGGTTTCTTTGTTTACTAATTTGTTCACTTATGTTCAAAGTTTTCTTCGAATCTCTCGAATCAATTTTTGCGATTCTAAATACACCTCTTCTTCCCCAACAGTGACCCAGCTCAAGCTCAACTCGATAAGTAGCACATGAGTTAAGCACGACGAGCTAATAAGCCAAGCTAAAGCCAACCCGGGCTCGACTCATTAGTCGTTAGTCGGCTCAAACTAAATTAAATTTTAAAATTTAATCATTGAATTATTAAAAAAATTTTAAAAATAATATTTTATATTTTATATAAAGTGATTTTTTATTATCTATCTCTTAGTTACACATTTTATCTATCTATGATTTCATATAACATTAGCATGAAATTATATTATATTCTCTTTAATAAACAAGTCGGAGTGAGCTTGTTCAAACTAGTAGAAGTAAACTCGAGCTTGAACTTGATTAATTAATCAAGCTCAAGTTCAAGTCGATAGTGGCTCCGCTCGACTCAGACTCGTTTATACCCCTAATAGCACCAATGTCCTCTAATGTGATGTATATTCTCCAAGGATTCCAGATTTCATATCATTTCCAGATATAGCCACTCTACATTAAGAATATAATTGTGTTTGCATATACCAGGTGTAGAAATTTTTTAGTTTTTGCAAACTTCCTTTAATATCTTAAAAGCCCTACCTACTACTATATGGATGCTCATTTTTAATATTCTTCAAAGTAAGAGCTATTTCATTTATCTTTCCAGATATAAATTTACGAAATTACAATGGCACAAATAATTTTTCTTCTGTACTGTCGAGTGGGCAAAATGCATATCATAGAGCCTTCACAGCTCAATTTCGAATTTTCAATCTTTCAATGCTATTTAGTATACCAGGTGCATCAATTCAATTCTTCCTTAATATAGATTTGTGAATTGCCTTCAACTTGTTAAATATGCTAATATTTTACTTGCAATATTTTTTTATAAAAATAATTTACCTTGTCGCTTGAGAAAATTCAAAATCCTCTTGCATCTATAAAATACAAATTAGAATATTACAGGCATAGATTTCACAAAAGTGCTTCCATTCAACATCATATCAAAGAAAAAAAAATATTAATAAAGTTGGCTCTTTTTTGCATAGAACACACAAAAACATGAACCCATGTGTAAATAAAAAATAAACATGGACACGCCCCATCCGCGGTTCCTTGGTTGAAGGTTTAACATTTGCATTCATGAATTTAAATTAATGAAAAAGTATGCTAGCTTGCGGGAGATGCATACATGAATGTTCAATATTGTACCAGATCTACACATAGGTGCTTGTATTTAGTTCAGAACGTTCGGCACTAAATTTGTGATTTTTGGAAAATATTGATGCATGAACCAAATAGTTATTTGGAATTAGACTAATTGTTCTTATGACAAGCATATCCACCAAAATAGGAATGATTACTCTATAAATTGATATTCTTTAGAAGAGCAAATATTGATCTTTAATGGAATTTTTTCCTTCTTCCAAATTTTAACCATTCGCAGGTCAATTGGATGTGTCGCTCTTCCAAGTTCAATACAAGCAACACTTATGAAATTCCAAACAAGTCATCCCTATGTATCAGCACGAGACCTGAATTTCTAACTTGGATCTAATTATGGTAAATAAATGATAATTGTTTGTTGATTTTGAGTAATTTCAGCAGATCATAAACTCGGACTCAAAAAATAACATCAAACAATTTCAACAACTAATCTTAAGGAAACCCCATAAATTAAATTTTGGCTTTATGTGCCAAAAAAATTACCATCCAACCATAAAAATGGCTAGCAAAAAATGTGCGGATGGAGTCGAGATGATAAGGTAGAAATTACTCACTAAAAAGGTGACGGTCAAAGTTCCATAGTACAGCTAAAATCTCTGTTTAAAAAGGTGCTCTTGTGGTGCGCCCGGGGAGCTCCCCGGGTTGAGGCGTAAGCCATTTCGCCCTTAACCCTCGAAGGGGGCGCAAATCTCACGAAGCTTACGCCTGGGAACGCCCAAAGCACAATTTGCACCTCATGGGGCGTACGCCACTTTTATTAATCGAAAAAAAAAGGAAAAATCCCTAATTTTTCAAAACTATCGGATTCACGCTGACTCAAGCATCTCTCGCATGCAGAGTCGCAGAAGATCCCGAAATCATCTGCTTCATCCCTCACACGAAGGTAATCCCAAAGTAGGTGATCAAGTCGTATACTTCGCTCTCGCACGCAGGCGCGATTGCTTTGTCCCGCAAGCATGCGATCCCACGGCTTCCTCTCTGGAAGGCAGGCAGAAAAACACACAGCGTTTGTTTCTCTCCCGCACCAACGGGGTATGCTTCTCTCCAGCACCTGTATCGTCCTTGTCGCAGCAGCGCAGCCTGATTGAGTTTCGGTTGTTTTAGGTATCATTAATGGATTATTTCATTGTAGCCACGATGAGTTTACTATGGCTATAATAATTTCATTGTAACTACAATAAAACGCAAATTTGATTTTCTCTTTTTTTCAGCTTTTGCAATTTGTTAGAGATCACACAATCCATTTACTCATAACAAAACATTTTCATGTTTGTTAGAGGTGGATTTGATCTGACTTTTTTATTTTAATGTACAGGGTTAGTTATAAACTAATAATAGAAGAGGGAAGATTGTGTGACCAGTAATAGTCGCACTAGCAAGGACTTTGCATGGCAATATACAACAAGCACGCCTAATGAAAAATATTCTAGATGTAAGTTTTGAAATCAATTAGCGTAGTGGAACAATAAACAAGATGAAGCAATATCTAGCTAGCACACACGAGGATATTAAACCATGCACTAAAGCCCTCATAGAAGTCAAAGATAAATGAAAGAAAGCAAAAGTGACAGTGTATTAAGAGACATTAGAAGTAGTGCAACAAATGTTTGTGGAATTTAAAATGCTATCGATTCATCATTATTTGACTCCTTTCAAAGGCCACCTATAGTTAAAAGTCCAACGGATTCTTTCACCACAACACAAGAAAGAAATTCTACTACTCAAATGAATTGGCATTTAATGTTGCCAACTACCCATATCATATGTCTATGCTTGAAGAAATTGCTAACTTTGGATCTGTTTTACTCCATCTACAATGTATGATTTACGAGCTTCGATAATCACAATGAAATTGCTACAATGCATAAAAAAATATGCTTTCTTGATTATTTCCGAAAGTTGGATGATGGAAAAAAATTGACGTACAAAAAATCTATAGAAATAAATAAAATTAAGCCTAGCATGTAACAGAAAATCTAACAAAATAAGAGCAAACATCAGCAAGAATTATTGTTAGACTGAAGAAAATAATAACACTAGAAATAAGTAACATGGAAAGGAACAACTTCACCAATAACTTGCGGTAAAAGTTATAGGACTGACCCTCTTCCGTTTGCTTGGTTTCAACAGAAATGAAGAATCCTTATTCATTGGCCAACCCAGATGAAAGCAAGATGGCGACCTGCAATGTTAGGTGCAAAAGAAACTTCAAGTAAATAAAAGGTTAAAAGTAAGAAAAGAACCAAGGAAAAACGTTCTTTACAGAACAAACCAAAAATATTCATTAAAATCATCATAGTTCCTCCATGCTGAGTGAGCGGCCTTTCCATTATTGTTTCTTTTAGCCTCCTGCAAAAAGTTGTTAAATATATGCACAATTACACATAATAAAGAGAGATACAGGCTTTTTACCTATTTATCCATCCATAAAGAATCAAAATATATATATATATATATA